TTTGTATAGTGGAGCCCAAATATTTTCAGCTTTTAATTGCCGAAATACGCCATTCATTTATATGAATGTTCTCTGTTTCATCTCCTCCTAACACCATATACTCCTTCTTTTCTCTTTAGTCTGTGATTTTCTAGGATATTTAATCAACTCACTAATCTTTCTTTCATTTCATCCTTGGATTCGGCAAGTATCACAATATCATCTGCAAATATCATATTCCACGGGACAGTTTGTGGTATAGATTGTGCTAATACATTTATTACTGTTATGAAGATAAGTGGGCTGAGAGCCGACCCTTGATAAACTATCTAGGCTATTGTGAAGCCTTAAAATTAAAGGTCTCCTTACCAGGAACTGAGAAAAAAAACAAAAAAGATCATAATTGATTATTTGGATAACGTTGAGAGAGTATCTAAATAGATTTCTTTGATGGCCTACCGGGAGCCCAAAAAATATGCCAAGAATTTATTTAATTAACCAAAACAGTGCTCACAGTCTCCATAACTCAAACTCTAAAAAGTGTTCTGTTAAGGATTATTTTATTCTCACATCACGTGATGATAATTAACCTTTTGGGAAATATATTATTAATCATGTAATCACTACTATCTCTCTCAGAAGATGTTGACAATTTTTCAATAATATGTATTGATAAGCAAGTAAATACTTATAATTTTTAGAAAACATATGCCAGCAATTTTAATCTTTTGATTAGTAAATTGATGGCTACCAGAAATTTTATATCTTTTCAGGGCCTGGAGTAAACAAACCCGTCTTTGTTTATTGCCATAATAATTATTATATTTTATGTAGAAATTTATAATATTGATGATTTAAATCAGAAACCTGGAGGCTAGGTCCGGGCCCTGTTTAGTGGAGCTCAAATATTTGCAGCTTTCAATTGCCGATGTCTGCCATTCATTTATAACAAAACTATCTGTTTCATCTCCTCCTATCACCATATACTCCGTCTTTTCTCTATTTACTTTTACTCCATGCTTTTCTAGGATATTTATCCAACTCACTAATCTTTCTTTTATTTCATCCTTGGATTCGGCAAGTATCACAATATCATCTGCAAATATCATATTCCACGGGACTGTTTGAGGTGTAGACTGTGCTAATACATCTATTACTGTAATGAAGAGAAGTGGGCTTAGAGCCGAACCTTGATGAACTTCTTCGGCTATATTGAAGCCTGCCGAAGTACCTGTTGTGCTACGGACCATTGTTGTATGGCCCATATACATATCCTGTATTATTCTTATATATTTTTCGGGAATCTTTTTGTGGCGTAGCGCCCACCAGATAAGTTTTCTTGGGATTCTATCGAAGGCCTTTTCTAGATCGAGAAAGACAATGTGTAGCTTTTTGTTCTTTTTCTTGTATTTTTCATTCATTTGCCTAATTGCGTGGATAGCATCAGTTGTTGAACTTCCAGGCATAAATCCAAACTGAGTCTCTCCTATTTCGATTATATCTCTTAATCTTTTTTCTATTATTTTTTCTTATAGTTTTAGACAGTGTGACATTAGTTTTATGCCCCTGTAATTTTGACAATTGTGTGGATCCCCTTTATTTTTGAAGATAGGAACTAGATAGCTCTGCCTCTATTTTTGGGAAATCTCTTCATTTCCAAGTATTTTATTGTATAGATTTGTGAGGAGATGTATTCCACCATCTCCTAGTGCTTTAAGGCTTTCTATTGGAATATCGTGGACCCCTAGCTTTGTTGTTTTTCATATGCTTGAGGCATGTGATTATTTCTTATTATGTTATAGGTTGTACAAGGTTTTGACATGGGGAGTGCTCGTCTAGATGTAGTATGTGGAGATTAAAATTGAGCTCCTGAAATTCATTATTTCTTTTTCCTTTATTATCAATTTCCCATCTTTATTTTTAATTACTTTCGGAGCTCCGTTTATATCCCTAGAGTTCTTTTCTAGCTGTTTGGCTAATCTGTATATATTATTTTGCCCTTCTTTGGCATGTAGTTCTTCATACATGTCATCGTATGCCATAGATTTGGCCCTAGCCACCGCCTTTGTAGCTATTCTCTTGGATATGTTGTAATTTGTCTTGTCATTTGAGTTTTTGGATTTGTACCATATTTTATAAAGCGTTTTTTCTCCTTTATAGTGGTTTGTACCTCTTCATTCCACCACCATAGTTCTTTGTATGATTTGTTGCCTCCATTTGTCAAGCCTAGTGTCGATTTGGCAGTGTCTATTATTCTGGATGAAAGGTCTGTCCACATTTTTTCAATGACTTGTGAAGAATCTATTATTTCAATGTTTGCCTTGATTGTAAAGGCATCTGTCATTGTTTTTAATTTGCCCCATTTGATTCATGGTTCCAATTTTATCTTATTTTGGATTTATTTGAGATGTGTAAATCCATGACTAGTAGCTTGTGTTGCGCGGCGATATCTTCTCCTGGGATGACTTTGAAGTCTATTACATCTTTTAATTTTCTGCGAGAGATTAGCATTTAATCTATATGTGTTTTCCTTGTACCACTTTTGTATGTTATTAAATAACTGTCTTTTTTCCTATAGTAGGTGTTGGTTAAGGCAAGGTTGAAGGCTTGCGCAAATTTCAGTACGTGCTCTCCTTCATCATTTCTTTCTCCATATCCAAAACCACCATGATGCCTTTTGTAGCTATCTCTTGCTTTCCCCACATGCGCATTTAAGTCACCACCAATTATGACTAGGTCATCCTCAGGGATTTCCATTACAGCTTCATCAAGGATAGCTCTTAAGTCATCTTTCTCTTCTTCCTTGCAACCCGTTTGAGGAGCATATACTGAAAGGATGTGTAGTATTAATTGACCAATGCAGAGTTTTATCTTCATTAGTCTATCAGAGATCCTGTTGACTTCTACTATTGAGGAGGTTAGATCTTGACTGAGGATGATGCCGACACCGTTCCTATTGCTAACAATTCCATTATAGTACAATTTATACCCATCTCCAATCATTAAAGTCTTCTGACTTTTTTATTTCGTCTCTTGTATGCACGCTATATCAATTTTTCACTTGTTCAACATTGATGCCAACTCTCTCGTCTTACCTTTAAGCGTCCCAATATTCAAACTTGCTAATCTTGTCTTCTTTGCTTTGACCTTTACTTTACTTTTCACAGGGTGGAGGTCTACACCTTGCGCATCGCTTGGAGGAAACGCCCTAGCTTTCATATTCATATTTCCATTTGTTTCCTTCATTGTTTATTGGACAGATATCCTTAACACCCGGCTGACCAGGCCTGTCGGTGACCGGGCTGTCATCTCTAAGCTCCGAAATTTATCTTACCATATGTCTTTACTCATCACTCATCGAAGAAAAACTTGAAAATTTTTATGCTCCTTACCAGGATTGAACCAGCGTCCTTCTGTTTCAAAGCATACATCTAACCCATTAGGCCACCCCGGCGAAAAAAAAGAAGAAATAAAGCATTTGTGTAACATAATTAAATATTTAAGTTTGACAAAAAGAAAACAATAATAATTAGATTTGTTTTAAAAGATCTGGCAAAAGATATCTCCCCTTTCATTGTAATAATCTCATTTTCTACCATACTGCTGATATTTGGAGGTGGATAATGGGTTTGCACCAATTCTAAGACATCGGATTGGTTGATTAAAAAGAAAACATAATGAATCCTAGAGGCTTTCATCATAATTATGATTATTTGCACACATAATCGATAAAAAAACTTCAAAATAAGGTGATTGTTTGTGAATATAGACTCCCTTATTTTACGCAAACTTTAATTATTAATATAACTATTTTTTAGTCTTTTAAAATGTGTAAGTTGAATTAAATTTGGCCATAATTTTGTTCAACATTCTAAAATTAAGATTAGATCAAAATTGACATGTGACGAACGGTTAGTACATTTATATTTTAGGTCCTCCTTACCAATCCTTATAACTCAAATGTAACTGGACCCCTGATAGATCCACATTGACATATAACGAACGCTGCGTGTATTTATATTTTGGGTCAACTACCTTATCAGTGATCAAGAGTTAATCGGTGCACTAAATTTCATGAGTACCCTCGTCCCGTACTCTACCCAGTTATTTAGAGTTCTTAAAAAGATTTTTATTAACAGATGGAAAAATTATAATATCAAAAAAGGAACTAAAATAATCCGCGATTTATACTTATTTATTTTTGAATAAATGATTTTAGAAAAAAATACAAAATAAAATTTTTAAGAAATCGATATTAAAAAAATATAAACAAAAAAAAACCACACAAATTTGTATAATTTAAAAATATGTATACTTTGTGTAAAAACTTCCATAAAATGTCCGCCTCCATACGGTAGCCAATTAAGTCATTTTCCAAGCCAATATACAAATTTATTTTTAAATAATGAATTATCTTTTAATAAATAAAAAAATACGCAATAATAAATAAATTTATCTAGGTTTTTTAAAAAAGGACTAATAAACTAACAATAATACAATATACAGTTACAATATAATGAAACTGTAGTTACCTTTTGTTTATTATTGCATAACCATGGTATTTTAAATCCACATTCTTTCTTGTTTTATTATTTTATTTATTGTTTATATTTGATAATTAGAGTATAACATTGACCATTTAAATAGAAATATTTTTACTCAAAATGGGCAGTTGCATCGTTAAATTTATGATATATTTTAAATCCTGGATTTAATTTACTCAAATAAGGTAGTTGCAATTTGATGTTAATAAAATGGTGTAAAGCTCAAATTAGAAAGGTTTTAAATATGATTTATACTGGTAACAAGGATGTTTATGAAAAATGTTTGTTTATTTTATCATCAAGCAAAATATTTTACATTATATGATCAACCTTTATTTTTCTATATATTAAATTTCGTAATTCAAAAAATAAACAAAAATTTTATTTTCTTATAAAAATTGTGGTTCTATAAACAATAACAAAAATAAAAAGGATTTAAATAAATAAAATATAGCCTTAATTAATTTATTTTTATATATATTTTCATAGTTTTCCAAAATATAATATATCAATTTATTTAGCATATATTCTAATAAAATTATATATTATCAAATATCAATCATGAAATCAGTTCTCTCAAAAAAGACATCTTGACCAATTAAAGTAATGAAGCTTTTTGTTTTTTTGTGTAAAACTAAGTTAATTTAGTTTTAAATCATTAGATTGATTCGGTTTCTCGTTAATCGTAATTTTTCATATAGTAAAGATTTTGCCTCTAGATTTAAATATTAAATAAAGGGATATGAAATATTTATCAAAATAGACAAGGAAAATTATAACATTTCTAGTAAACAACAAAATATTCTCAAATTATATTTGCTCATTTAGATTTTAAAAAGCTCAAATTTGATTGTACTCGCTTTATTGATTTTTTATACAAAACTTTTTTTTAAAAAAATTATTACAAAATAAATAAAAAAATAAGCTTATTTATAAAAAAATGAATATTTTTATTTACTTAAAAAAATAAACAACCAAAAAAAAAATGTAAGCCAGATAAATTAACAATGAAAATAAAATTATGAGGGTTAAGGAGGTAAAAATGTGTCGTGACGTTTTCTTATTTCTTTTTTTTTAAAATTCTTGTTTATTTATTATATATTTATTTACTTATTTATAAAATGCGGTTTTTTGAAATAATATTTTCTTTATCTGTTATTAAATATACTGGACAGAAATTCCATTATGGGAGAACAAATTATGTAAACTACATTTTTTTATCCAAATCGAACAACATGGATAAAAATATGTCAATACCGTTCCTTCGAACAAAGTCCATTTTAAAACGATATTTTTCTAAAAATTTAATTAATTTATTTGAAAAAAAACCTGATATTTTCCAGGCAAATTCAATTATAAAAATATAAAGAGCTGTTTTTAACAGTTATATTTTTTGGAAAGTATTAAAATCTGAAAATAATTGATTAAAATTTAAATCATACTTCAATATTTTTTGGCTAAAATATTGGGTTGGTTAGCCGTTTTTAAAAATCATATTTGTAACTAACTTATGCTAGAACCTATAAAATAATTTATGAGTATATTTGAAATTATTTATGTTCTTTTGAAAATAACTTTAAATGAAAGAAAAGGTAGATCAATATGAAAAGAAAAAGGATCAAGGGCCAGCCCATATTTTAATTTTTTTAAATATACCTGGGCTGGTATCACATTGATTTATCATTATCCATTTTATGTATTCTTCAAAAATATTTCCTGTATAATGTTTTTCAAATTAATTATTTAACTAATCATTATTTTAAATGATACTCAATCAAATTAATAGCAACAACACTCAATATTCAAAATATCATATTCATATACTTTTTAAGTGAAAATTTTTATTCTAGATAAGCATTATTTTATCTCTTTTTCTCTATCCCATATTCAGGCAATTCGTATGTTGTAAGGGAGAGAGCACAAAATTGGTTATACTTAAATGACGATATTAAATTACCAGAGGAACAAGAAGTAAGTGAATTACCATCGACCAGTTGAATTTGTGTGGTGATTCAAACTCACTCCTTTTACGAAAAAATATATGGATGATATTTGCTGTAAAACCATCCGTAAAATAGCGAAAAAATTTATATACTCCGACCAATTTTTTAAAAACAATCTGGGCTAAAAATTCTTTTAAAAAAATCCCCTCCATGCCTGGCCTAAAAATATAAAACCAGTGCTTGGACAAGAATTCTTTTAAATACGGGCCGGGCTGCAAATGGTACCTCTGCAATTCTGATAGTTTAAATATTTTTTCAAGCGAATGACGCCCTGAAGATTTTTTAGCGATACCTGGCAATATTTGCAAATTTCTTCAGAAAATTGAAAATATGAGCCAGCTTAGACTTTTTACTATCCAGGGCAGAAAAGAATTCGGCGGCCCTTTAAAGCCCAATTTACTTAATTTTTTAAAATTATTTTTTCATTCTGACAATTAACGGAAACTATATAATTTGGTAAAATTTTTTGAATTATAATCACAAATTGATTAACTTTTAGAATTAATATAGTGATGGTATATGTTATCGTCAATCTGTTTTTTCCGGCAATGTGTTATTAAACCTTATTTTACCGTAAATGTGTTCATTGTTTGTTTAGGATCAGGGTTGCCAGGTCAAAATTTTCAAATTGTGGGAGAAATTAGGTATTTTGTGGGAGAAATATAAAAATTGTGGGAGAAATTGCTAAAAAAAATTTTTTTGCGGGCCGAAGGCCCGCAAAGGCCCGGGATTTAGAATTGACTTAGTTATCCGCTTATTATTTTTTATAAATATAAAATCTAATCTAAAATAAAATAGGTAATTATTTTTCAAAATAAAATAGCCAACTATTTAAAATAAAATAACTAACTTTTTCCAAAATAAAATAGCCAACTATTTTTCAAAATAAAAGAGCCAACTATTTTTCAAAATAAAATAGCCAACTATTTTTCAAAATAAAATTTCCAACTCTTTTTCAAAATAAAATAGGTAACTCTTTAAAATAAAATAGCCAACTATTTTTCAAAATAAAATAGCCAACTATTTTTCAAAATAAAATATCCAACTCTTTTTCAAAATAAAATAGGTAACTCTTTAAAATAAAATAGCCAACTTTTTCCAAAATAAAATACGCAACTATTTTTCAAAATAGGTAATTACTGTACGACACAAAATTTCTTAGAGTACTATCTTTATTATTAAAATAACATATTGATTTATTATAATATATTAATTTTGTTTACAAATAATAACCAAAGATCTTTTTTAATTACAAAAGAATGTAAACAAGATAAAATTTTATAAAAAAATTGTAATTTTACAATGTAAAAAAATAAATGTATAAATAAGATTTTATAAAAAAACAAACAATTTTAAATTTACAATGTAAAAAATATTTATAATCAGTGCGGGGAAGTTGTTCTACAGTATTTAGTTAATACAATGGGGGAAGGGAATATGATATTTTGAGGTATCAAAAATCTTCAAAGCATAAATCAGTACAGGGCATTCTATCAACATCTATTGCAAAACAAAAATATTCTTCAAAAATTAGAATTAATATAGATGCAACTACAGTTGCGGAAATGGTAAATACCTATCATGCAGTACAACATTCAGAGAGTTACTCAACATCTCAATGTTGGTAGAATCTTTCCCCATAATATTTAACGACTAATATAAATGAAAAGTATACTTTGTAGAACACAAAATGAGCAAGGCTATCAACAATGTTTTAGGATATAAATCCAGAAGGTCAATTCTTGACGATTTGAAAGATGTGCAAACATATGCAATTATAACAGATGCATCTAATAAGGAGATATCAAAACCTTTCCCTTGATCCTCCCCTATTTCAACAAAATTAATGTCATTTCAATAAAACTATTAAAAAAAATTTCTCCAGATATGAAATATCCAAAGACATAGCTAACCATATATAATGGTAAATATGGCAGATTTGGCATTACCAATGAATTGCATGGCAGCTTTCTGATCTGATAATTCCTCAGTGAATTTGGCAAAAACCATAGTGTATTTACAGAATTGAGTCAGCATAATGTTGGTTGACAGGTTCCTCCTAATACGCGCCATCGTAGAATTTTAAAATTTTACAAACCTTTAAAAAATAAATAGATTATAAAAGCTGTCCTATTTGAAAAAAAATTTCAAAAATAAATGGCAGAAGTATATTTAGGAATTTTACATATAGGAAATCTACTATATGCTGTTAATATGCAGTTGCAATCAGAAGAATATAATTTAATAAAGGCTCACTAAATTATTCTGCAGAAATACCAAAGTAATCCACTTCTAAAAGTTCTATTCTTCTATGAAAATGTTGAGTGGAGCACTGCAATTATAGAATCTAGAAATTTAAAATATATTTATAATAATTATACATACTATTCTAACTTCAAATTTTGAAAATGTCGAATGGATTGGATTGGATGGAGAATTTAAAATTAGCGGAAAAATAAAATAAAAGAACTAGACATATTTTTCGAATAAATATTTAAAATTTATTTTAAAAATATAAAAATAATCAAATACTGTTTCTCAAAATTATTATTTATATATTAAAAACATTAAAATGCTAAAAAAAAATTTGTGGGAGATTTTTGTGGGAGATTGTGGGAGATTTCGAATTGTGGGAGTTTTGTGGGAGTGAGATGTATGTGGGTAAACTAAAAAATTGTGGGAGACTCCCACTGATGGGGGGAGGCATGGCAACCCTGTTTAGGATACCTATCTTATGAATTATAGATAATTTTACCCTTAACTTTTAAGTCATTTATAATTTATATGAAAAACATTCTCAGTAAAATCAGATTTTTAAATTTAAAGAAACGCGTTCAAAAAATGATTTTAAAGTTGAAAAAATAACACATTGCCGCTAACATAATCATATATATTAAAAACTAAAGTTGAAATTTAAATATTTATCTTCCTAACCTTTTTATTTTCAGAAAATGTATACACTTTAGGTATTGCATATTAGCCTAAGCAGTTAGAATTAATGTTTTCAAAAGTTTGATAAACCTCATGCTTAGGATAGTGTCTTAACTCTTAATATCAGATTTATATCAAATTGTTGAAAATATATGATTTAAAATTTAATGAGATTTAAACTAATTTATTCCACATCTTAAATAAACTGAAAGGAAAACACCTATCAAGATCATACATCAATTACTCAAAACTATTGTATAAAATTATTCTATTACAAACGTAAATATTGAATAATAAAAATATTATATTTTATTTGGAATTATTAATAAATATTTGGTGTTCCTTGTGAAGTACCTAGGAATTCTTTATTTCATATTTCAACCATTTTGATGCAAAACAAACTTAAATAGCTCTAATTATAAGTATGTAATGACCCTGCCCGTTTAAAAATCTGATAAAAGTGATAATCCATAGTGTAGCCTTTAATTTAGCAAATCTCCAATATTGAAATAGTTGTTTATTTTGGTTTAAATACATATATTTCCAGTTAGGCCTTGTATTTAAAAAACCGGGTCGAGCCCGGCAACCTTATTAAAAATTATAAATGGGCTGGGTACAAATTTAGCCGGGCTCGCAAAAATTCTAATCAGGCCGGGCCTGAAAATTTTT